TTAAAACCTTTGCAGAACCTGTAATTGCGGCGCATAAAACTGACAATAAAAACACAAAAAAGTGGCAACGATAAGCAAAAAGTAGGACTTCAGCTTGCAGCTGAGTCGGGATGGATTAACACGAACCCACCGAATTGGAGCAGAAGTATGAGCATGGAAAAAGTGAACACGATCATCCTGATAAGAACGACAAATAAAACCATACTATACCCACCATTCCGAAAACTACAGTAAAAAACCAATTGCAATAAAACATAAAAGCAATAAAAAGAAAACCCAGAAAACGTATGCAATAGTAAAAACACTGATAGCCATAATCAAAAGGAAATTAAGGCATCTATTCGCTACATACATACAAATACGTAGAGATACGTAGATACATAAATAATTTTACTTTGAAATAAAAGCAAACATATGTACATATATTCGGACGTACACATGCATTCAAAAATGATGTGTAAATAATTGTAGTTTTGTACTGAGTCTGCTGGTGAGATATCGTATCCGTGAGATGAAAATAATGATGTTGATGATGTCTTTGCTGAAACACATTTAGCTATTCTTTTACCTACCTGAGATCCGATCCATAAAAGATTCAAAAAAGTATAGAAATACAAATGAAACCGAAAGAAGAAGAGAAATAAAATCACCCTCAAAGCAGAAATTGGCAAAAGCAAAACAAGTCAAAACCACTTTTACAGATACGCAGATACACAGATACACATATACTTAGATACATGTACATATAGAATATAAGTATAAATTGAAAGGCAGACAAATGTGGATGAAAAGCAAATGTACTAGCTGACATAGTCTTGCAGTTAACAAAAGCTGGCGAAACAACTGTGCGACCGACCGGCAGTCAGTCGGTACAACACTGTATAAATGTATTTCAAAGATACGAGTATGTATTTTGTTGTTGGCTGATCGTGCTGAAAACACAAAACGTGATCTTGAGGGTTTTTCGCTTCTATGTTTAATAGTATTTTGTTCTTTTTCTTTTTCGGTTTTTGCTTATATTCCTTATTTCGTTTTTATGTGTGCCTTCAGTTCTAGGTTTGTGTTTATCTAGACTTGCCTATTGATTTTTTTGTTTGGTCTTTGTACGTTACAAATCTTGCCATCAACGTCAAATTTATAATTTTTTCTTTTTAATTTTCTTAAGTATCTTTAAGACAGAAGCTGTTATTGTAAGTGTTTAGAAAATGCAGAGCCGTAGAAGTCAGTCAAAGTAACGGATGTGTTACTCATTGATTTAAACCGTCTTATAGATACTTTCCTAGGATTTAATTTTATAATTGTTATGAAAAGGGTAGCGATAAGTATTCGTTAAAATAATTTTTTTTGTCTAATCCTTTTTACAAATTTAACAGCTAATTTAATAATAAAATTTAAGGAAGATGCAACGATGCATCTATGTTAAGGGTATAGAGGAATACATATGCTCCTAAAGCCCCAATTATCTGATTGTTTGATAACTCAAAGATTATCTTAGGTTAACTATAGAGATACTATAGTTAAATGAAACTCTGTTCGGACTTTTAGGAGATTATGTTAAGGTTTTCTATTGCAGTTAGTTATAGTGAAAGAGTGATATTAATAACCTTCAGTGTATTAATAACATTTTGATATAAATTTGATTAAAATATATTTTGATATAGCATTGTAATTTATTGTTGCTCAGTGCATTGTTTTATGAAATAAACTGTACCACTATATTCTGAAATCAATATAATTGTATGACAGAACGAAGAACCTAGCAGTCGAGTTCCTTAATCTCGATTAACTTTAAAATTTTAATGTTAATTTACAAATAAATAAATATAATTGCATGGAAATCTTCATTACCGTTAACCGATCGATTAATTTTAGAAATGTTGCATAGATTTTAAACTATCAGATATTGTTTTTCTTCTAATATCAGGAAATATATTGTTCAACAAGCTTGAATTTCACCTGTAGTTTTATTATGTTGCGATGTTAGATAGATTGAGAGTAGATTTTACAGTCATCTGCACTTTAACAAATAAAGACAGAAGATAGAATTAGAGCCAATTTCACTAAAGTCTCAATGTCTCATACTTAATCCAGTCTAAAGACTTATGACTGTGAAATCGGTTCTAAGGGAAGTTTGTGCGATTACTTAACTATAAAATACGATGAAATTCTAAATCTTACTTCTCGGTTAATTATAAAATAGCTATTACAATAGCAATACAGAGTTTGATTCTTAAATATATAGGAATGTAATTAATTTAGATATTTAAGTACGTAAGGTACCTTGTGGTGATAAGGGGGAAGAAAAAATCATCAAGCCTGTTATATTGTTGTCCACTCCACAATAAAAGAGTAATTGCACATTAGAATACTATCAGTTGGTAACACATATGCTCTCAATGTTTCTCAATCAAGATTACTACAGTTTGTTACCTCGACAAAATGATTCAACATGGCACTAATTTAGATTAGACTTCCTAATGGAGTCATAACACTTTACAATAGCGATCATTATCTAATTACATCGGTATCCTATTTATTATCGTTGACTACCATGAGGAAGTATCTTATGCATATATTATTTTCAGCAATGAGCTTATTTACTAATCATGGATCACAGATCATTGTAATCCTTAGAATCCAATAAAAGACGGCCCATTATTTTCTACTTGGAAACCCTGAAAATGCTATTGTATAATGTATAGATGATCATTATTTTTATTATTAGTACGTAATAATAACAATGAGTAAAAAAAATGGCTGTTGAACTAATTTCTAATAAAATATACTATCAAATATATATCGATTGGGTTGAGATGTAATATACCAGAAATTTTTTGAAAATGATGGTTTTGAAAACCCATCAGAAACAAAATGATTATTAATTTTTTTGCCGTGAAACATAGGTGTCGAAAAAATTACATCGCAACAAGACGGTGCAACAAAACTCGTCCTGTTTTTGCTTTGTTGTGTGAGAAATATCTGAGACGTGTAATTTTAAATTTTGATAAAGTGTATTGGGTATCAGAATCTTACAATTTGTTAACACCAAAATTTTTTTTTAATGGGTCGAGCCCCTCGACGCTATAGAAGAGGTCAGATGGGCGATATTTGAATATCTGGCAATACGTTACATTATAGCTGAGCTGTGAGCTATAGAAGATGTCAGACGAAGGACATATAAATTTGATGGAGAGGTCTAAACAATATATTAAATTAAAAACTAGAACAAATTCTCAATAACAAGTGGTTTTTATTAACGTTTACTTTCGAGACTACATAATGAATATTCTCTGTATAAACATTCGTATAATAATTTTCCATAATATTTACAAAAAAAAACCGTTTTATACAATTTTTTAAAATGTAAAATCCCTCTTTCTGGTTGCACTTATTTAGGTAACTACGATCCTGGCTTCATTTGAACTCGTAATGGTAATCAAACTTGCAGCTGTTTGAGTACTTAAAGTTGGTTTTATGTATCTGAAATTTTATTTCTTTTTCTGTTAGCTGTTTTTGGTGATCTTTCTCTTTTCGTTTGTTCAGTGTCAAACAGTTTTACGAGGATGAATCATCACAAGCTTAGTTTTGTGTGCAGCCAACTTACCAGTGCATGTATTGCAGTATCCCACAGCGTCTGTTTACTTAAACACTACGTACGATTATGTATGTTGCTTGAAGAATATGCAACGAAAGGTGGCTGAAGTCTAGAGACTTTGTCGCGTACGGATAAATTATCTCAAACACAGTTACACTTTATGTTCTTATCTGAAACATATTTCATTTAATTTTACTGCTTTCCACGTTTTTTATTATTTTGTTTTTTTTTTTGGTTTTTTTTTATTTTTAAAAGTCATTAGTATTAATTTTCATTCATCCTACGTTTTACACTTTTTTACTGCTACTCTTTCTAAACAAACTTTTCTCTCACATGAATTCATGAAACGAATTTATTGTATCTAATTTTCCATAGATACGTACAAGTACTTTTTGAATTAATGATCTTAACTTGTTGTTTGTAAATAGTACGTAGAAAAGTACGTATATATACGTAATAGTATACTATATATAGAATTATTTAACAGCGTTATGTGGTTTAAGTCTGATGTGGATGAGTATTCTTATTTTGTGAATACACTCTGAAAATGTCTTTGTTGGGAATGTAATTATGTAGTTAATAAGCTCGCTGTATGGCTTGAGTCTCTAATTTCTCATCAAATGCGGATTTGAAAAATCGCCTGCGGCTTTTTTG